AGATGATTATTGTTATTAACATTATAACTACCTGTAAACCAATGATGATGGGAGACTGGACAGTGGCTGTGCCTGCCCGAGACAAGTGGACCTGTCCAACGTTATATTATATTAGTTTATTTTCTCTGTTTATCACAGGTATGATCAGTATCGCGAAAATGTGAGAAAGAAGATAACAAAAGCACAAGATCAGTCTAAGATGTCACCCATATCAAAGTTTGGTAAATTTTTCAAAAGAAAATAATATGTTTGTTATCGTTGGTTTTTAATTCGTTTTGAACTACTCTTCTTTAATTCATGAATTAAAATGTCATGAAAAATTGGTTGTCATTCACTTTAACTTATCATTTTTAAACTTATTCTTTTTAACATTGTTTGTTGTACACCACTTAATATGATAAAAATGTGAGGCTTGGCATTTTAATACCAGTGTACTGTTGCTAATTGTTAAACTGAGTAATTTGCATAAGAATGAGGCAGAGTATTGTATACTTTAGTACAGAGAAGTCGAAATACTTGTACTCATAACTTAAGCAATAGTAAATCATTTTAAAGTTTATGATGCGCAGAATATAAATATCAATTTTCAGGTTGTTGTCACTGGTTTTGGCATGGCAAGCCCCATATTTCTTAAGATGTGAAGATACAAATCCAGTTGCATGTTCTCGCTCCCTCAATTCTGTCTGCTGAATATTCACAAAAAGCCCAAATCTTAGAAAAGTACCCTCCTCTCTCAGTTATGTTTCTAATTTATACTGTGTCACATGCTGTTTGTAAATCGGGAGGGGAATGGAGTGAAACCATGGTTACACACCCCAGCACCGTTTTGCTTCTGACTTTCTAGTATCCTTAATGGAATCCATAACAATGATAATACTAATTATATCCAGTGTATATATTTTCATCATGATTATGAAAACTGTGTTTAGCCCCAGCCTACCTTTTCAACTACACGTTTTTGGCATTCTGGATTTGTTCTCTCACATTCATTTCAAGTTGTTTTAAACCTCATGTTTTAATTAAAAAATTTTCATTGAAAATTTATATTCATGAATTTCAATAACACTGTTAATAATGTGAATTAGTGTTAATATTTTTGGTTGTTAATCTAGATGTACACATTTATATACTGTTTGATAAATAGTAAGATTAATACTTTGTATTATTTTTAACTTTTTATAATGACATGGTATATTTTGTTCTCACTCTAAATGTTATAAGAAAATTATTTTACTATGGGATGACACTGCTATTCTAAAAAAAAAATCCAATAGATTGTAGTATTTCTTTAATTTATCAAAAGAGAGCTGAACACAATGCATTCCTTGGAGCTAAAACCAATAAAACATTTTCAAAGTGGCTGCTTTAAGCAAGAAACATAATGTTTAAAGCTATAAAGAAAATGTTCTAACTCACAATTAAACCACAATCTATCTTCTGAATGGACAGCAGATTTCAAATATTCAAAGACTTACTTATTGGCATGTCCATGCTAAAATACTAATGTATATAGAATGGAAATTGTTTGGATACTCACATTACCAATAAGTACATATAAAGTATATAATTAAATCATGAAGCAGTATAATACAGTACACTGAATGTTAATTTCATTAATGGTTCTCAAAAAAGGTGAGCAGTGAAGGTTTGAATAATGACAATAGGGAGATTTCAATTTGTGCGACGACGCGGCGCTTGAACGGAATCACTTATGCGTAACCGTCCTACCTGGCGTCCTACGTTCTCTGCATACGTAGATTTGGCCAAATTGCGTTCCAGAATCTACTCAACAAGGTGAACTCTTAACGTTCTCACATGCACATATGACTTTTTAGTGACGTCATTGCGTTCTACGTCCTACCGTCGTCGGGCAATCGAAAGTTCCCTAATACTGTGCACTACTAATTCAACATGCTCTGACCCAAACAATCTTTTCACACTGTTGCTTGTCTCCTTAACAGCAGGCTAGTGTGTTCTAGTATTTTTGTAATTGACATTATAGTTGTGTTCACATTGAACAAAAAACAGGATGCGCAGTCTAATATATTGAAACAGACATTTTGAACAAAAAAAAAAAGAAGCAACCCAGTAACTCAGGTGTAGATATGCTTATTTTTATAAATATTTCCATAAACTAAAAATTTGTACCATGTAATTCTCAGTAAAATCAAATACCAAAATCAAGTCAAATAATACTATATTCTACAAGACCAACCTAAAATACTGTGTGTTTTATAGATAAATTATCTATGCATTTTTTTTACTATTTACATTTTATATAAATATATAATTTTGTTAAATATGCAATTTATAAATCAAAGGTGTGAACGTAGCTCAGATTGTGAGTCCCTCATTATAATAATTGATGTTTACAAAATTGTCAAATTTGCTAAATTATATTGCAATTTTTATGAAATTCTATATGTTTGCTATTTCTTTTTTATTTTACTATATTTATGTCAGAATTTTGGAAATTCTTGATTTGTACTAAATTTTCAAATTTTTTACTAAATTTATATCAGCACTCTAAGGAATTTTCTAGTTTTACAAACTTAAATTTGATAATGATTCTTAGGCTCTTTACAGACTCACATTTTATTTGACAAAAAAACTGTTGCATGCCCATATATAGTCATGGTGTGCCTATATATGGTCATGATGTGATATCATGACCATATTTAGACAAGTCACATGTTTTTGTCCAATGAAATTTGATACTTTACCAACTAACTGGTTTATACCATTTTCCCATTAGGGAACATTTTTTATCAATATATTGTGTGTAATCAATAATAGTAAATCACAAGATAGTTATTAAGTATGTAGAAACACCTCCACTAAACTTGTATTAGAATTCATAGATTAATAATTTTTAATGCAAAATTACTGAATGAATTCTTAACACTAAACTCGGATTAATTATATCAATTTTTAAAATTATTTTTATATTTATTTAAGAATTGCATTGATAGGTTAGAGTCATTATCTGTTCAAAGTTTGATCAGACTCTGCTGTATATTATCTGTTTGGCCTACTCATGAATGGCGGTTTGGGGAGTGCGGACACACCCTCTCATGGACAAAAATTTATTCCATTAAGTTGGTTAAAATACTAAAAATGATGATTAAGTGTGCATTGGAAATTGTATGCATACAATGTTAAATGCAACATATAAGATAAAAAAGAGAGCACAAGGCCTAGGTATATTAATATGCAACAAATGAATATTGACCTATAGGGAAAGGTCACATATTAGGTGAATACTTTGTTTTTCTGCTCTGGATGTCATTTGTTTGGGAAAAATGCCAATCATATGTTCTAAAATTTCAGCCTCAAAATTTTAAAAATTTCATAATGCAGACAGGAGCAATAATTTAACAGATTTTTTTAAATCTTTCTTTTTGTATCACATTCTCACATCCTAGACAGAGAATTTTTTTAGTCAAATTTTATATTGTAAGAAATTTTAGGTAAAGCAATATTTACAAATACAAATATCACCAATCTCTTTCATCTGAAACTGTCAGAAATGGTTTTCATTAGTCATATAAAAATCATATACCTGTAAATTATTAATTTATTTGAGATCTATTTAGAATCAGTTACTCTGTTTAAAATTGTGGTGGATAATTTCCATCGTACTGTTTTTCAATCATTTTCTTTTTGTAATAAAAATATTTTGTGATGTATTTTTCAAAATATTGTTGAATTATGCAATTAAGTAACCATAATTAGTACTAAGTTGGCAATGTAGTGTTTTGGGGGATAGTTTGATAAATTAAATACCAAGGGTAGTTCCCTGTAGTGGGTCCATGGAGATGGGTTGAATGCACGTTCCCCCCCTCTCTATGCACTATACAATTGGTACTTTGAAGTAAATTACAATTTATTACTATATTTTAATACATTATAACGTCATAACCGATAGTATATAGAAATTGAATATATTTGATAATTGTAATGTAATGTTTTTGAGATTGTAAAAAGGGCAACAAGTGTAAATATATATGTAGATAGGAAGATAGGAGGATGATAGATGATGGACTAACATTTATTAGTCAGGATTTTTGTTATTACTTCAGACACATGTATATGAATAATTGTATTTTTATAAGTGTAAAAACATTTGTAACCAAACTGATTGTAGGCAAAAGTTAAATTTTATTGGCAAGAATTGAGATCATCCTGAACATATATTGCCTGTGACCAATCTTAAGAAATAAAATTGATATTAATGTCTATTTTCTGAATACTTACCTGGACAAACTATTGCCTTGTTCCCATAATCCAGAACACCCTTCAAAGATGATAGAGCATAATAATAATAAAAATAATGATAGTAATATTGTGTTAATATTTTTCCATTACATTATTTACTAGTTATTCTATGACACTTTGCCACACATACACCCCTGCCCACTTACTACGATTTTCTAACATTTTGATCCAATAGTAATGTACAATTTTTACTAAATAACTTAATATTCTTTATATTTTGTCAATAAAAATGACAGTTTGATGACAATCAGTATGGTGCAGTACAGGTTTATGAATTGTAGTTGCAAGATAAAGTTGTTAAAGCTTTTAGAATCTTTTTCATTGTTATTCTTGAGCTGAAATACAAACTTTTCATTTGGTTAAATATGAAAATATGAAATAAAATGGTTTATTGTATTTAATGTCAGTCATCTCTTCAAATAGTTTTAATTTAATTATTCAGTATTTGAGTCACACAAACCACTCACATGAATTTTTTTCAATCAATCAATCAATCATTCATTCAATCAGTCAATCTGTAGGTCAGTCAATTAATATGTATACAAATTTTGAATGGTAAAGAAGAAGAGGAATCTCCAAGTGCAAGCAAATTTTCTCAACTGGGATTCGAAACCTGGGACCTTCTGCTGTTTAAGCAGACACCTTAACTAACTGGGTCATTGCGGCTTTCGTTGGAAGTTTGAATCCGATTTGAGGCAATATATAGGAAGAAAATGTGTCCATATGTGTTTCAAAACATATAAAATATAATACTGCGTAACGGTAATAAAACTCAAGTACGTAAATTGCCGACTTTAGAAACACAAGAATTTATTGCACTAACATTTTGACTACTCCTGTAGTGTCTTTTTCAACATTTGACATAAAATCAAGTGATGTTAATCCTAAAAGGGTTGTTGAAATATTTGTTGCAGCTTAGATCTATCCATAGGGGGAAACTAAAAAAATGAAGAGGGTTAAAAACAGTACCTTAAGGCGAAAGTAGTGTCGCTAAGGGGAAACTTAAACGACGTTAAGGCGAAATTATAGACAAAAGAGTTTCCCCTTAAGAGCCGAATAAAGGTAGTGTATATATATATATATACATATATCATATATACACTTAATCATTACTTTAGTACTGTTTATAATTTACTTGTTAGGTTTAAGCTTCATTGCTATCGGAGCGGCTCCTTTATTAATTTTTGTTTATCTCCTAAATACTATATATGCACTGCATACTATTTGTGGCCTTTCTCTTCGTTACTAAAAATATGAATGTCATTTTATAAGTACTGTAGGATTAGATCAAGGAAAATATGCAGATAACTGAATGCATTGTCGAGAAATAACATTGAACTCAGTGAATAATTAAACAAACTCGATTTCCATTTGCATTATCACTTCGTAAAACCTATGAAATCAGACATTAATTTAATTAGTTATTTTTTTTAGAGCCTACTGTACAGTAGGCCTAAGTTATACCATGAAGGCTACTGTCCTCACTGGCATAATTTTGTAAGTACTTCTAAACCAATTCCTCTCTGGTCAGTTATAATCAGATGATCATGGAGGAATGAAAATGGACAGAGTTGTCAAGGTCAACTTCTGGTAGGGTAATTATGGCATTATTGCCATAGCAACTGCCTGAAATAAGATCCCAACAAGAACTTTCTTTAGTCAGTCTAGCATAGTTTAGCACAGTAAAATATTCAGTTGTTGATTGGAGCCCAAATATCAGTTGGTAAGATTTCCTACTTGCTCTTTTATTGTTAGTATACAGTATTCAGGTATAATGTAAAGAATTTCTATAGCGCCTTTCCAAAAAAATGGTCAAAGCGCTTTAATAATAATCTTCCTACAAACAAGTGAGTTTTAAGAACTTTTTTAATTGTATAAAGTTTGATTCTCTATTCATTTGAAAGTCCATTCAAAAACTAGGCCCAAATTTTGAAAAAGCATTTTTGTCTTTAATACAAGACGGTTCTCTAACCTATGCAATCTCTTTCAGAGCCGCATTGTTAGCATTGTATAATACGTACAAGGTACCTCTGCGACTGAATTATTCTTAGTTATTTGTTTTTGTTTTTTTTTATTTTAATTTATTTCTTTCAAAAGTGTACTTTCTATCACATATTAATTGCACTGTCAAGTTAGGCCTAGGTCTCTAGTCTTATTATGTATGCTTCATTGTCATCCATTACACAGTACTTCAGTAGTGCCCCTCCAAGTATGAGCAGAACTAAGTCACCAGCATCAACTTTTGTGAGTGCTCGGAAGCAGAACTAGTATTGACTTTGTTTAGGCTTATCACAGAGACAGTGAACTTTGCTCATCAATATTTAATAATTATGCAAATCGAAGAGAAGGTACGAAGGGTACTTCACAGCCTACATGACTTGGACTATGTTAAATACTAAATGATTTTCACAGTCTAGAAAGTACTGTATTTGTAATTATTTTCTAGGGAGATAAACAAGAAAAACTTAAGCATATAAGATAATTGAGGTAAGATCAAGTACATTTTCTTTTCTCAATCCTAGGTCATACTCTATTAAACTGTTTGACCTACAGGTCCGTTTCAGTTGCAGAATGACGAACAAATTTAATCTGTATAGTTATGCTGTTCATGTCTGTTGATGGTGTTAATGTCTTTGGTGTTAATATTTTTATTCAGTATGTGCAGTGGCGGTGCCAGCGGGAGGGCAGCAGGGTCTCAAGCCCCCCACAGGACAGGACTCGTCAGGCAGTCCGACTAAAAAATATATAAAAATAGGTCCATGCCAAGCCAACACATGTCTGTCACAATCAAAGAGTGTCATTTCTGGCCACCCAGAGATTCCTATTCTTAAAAAAAATCCCCTTTGGGAGGGTGGTGCCCCCTCTCAAACCCTTCCCCCAGCTCGGGCCTACGAGCCCAAGTCCCCCTGTCGGACAGCTCAGTCCCCCCAGAAAATATATCCTAAAACTGCTGCTGAGTATGTGTTATAGTGCAGTGGCAGCACAGGATTTCCCTGACAACAGTCAGGGCAAGAGTTTTACTTCGGTGTGTAGCGTCATCCAATGGCCGTAGGCCCGAGCCGAGGGAAGGTTTGGGATGAGTGTCTGTCTCCCAAATGAGAACATTTTTAAAAAGTAATAAGCCGCTAGACGCTCATACAGGGCAACTTGACCTAAGGATGGTGTTTTTTGTGTCTCATTGGGATCCAAACTATTAATTTATATAGGCCTACCCATTTTATGTCAACATGTGATATAAACTTTTTAAAATATTATTTTTTTAATTCCCAACGAATCTCTCCTAACTACCCTGAGGGGACAAAGCTCCACATGGGGGATGTAGCTTCTCCTAGCCCCCCTTCCCAGGCATTGCTACTGCCAACTATTTAGGTGTTTTGCATCTTTACGGCTAATAATGAATGTCTTCAGTGTTCTGTACAGTGGTTGAGTAATTCATTTGAAGTTGAAATGTCATTAAATTTAACATTTTAATCATTTTAAATTTTTGGTTGGTGGGGTCACAACAGTTTCAGAATACATAAATGAGTAACACATAACGCTAATATGCATTGAAATTTTAAAAATTTAGTGTCCAAAAAAAAAAAATAAGGGTTCCAACTTTGCATTTTCTTGTTTTACCATTGGAAAAAATGAAATGTTTTTTTGAATTGAATTGAAGTATTTATGTTTTAATATTAATAGTGAAATATTATATTTTCAGGACATTTTATAATGCCAAAATCAATTTATATCCTTGGACTTTTATTGTATTTTTTAAAATGTAAGTACAAGTTGCCTATTTACTATTACATTTAATTTGAATAATTAATTACTATTTAATCAATTATTATTTTATTTATATTTGATTGAACTATAAAACTAATGAATTTTATTTCTTATAATAATTATTGCTAATGGCATGTTTTATTTGTCGTTTCTCATTTATCAGAAGCATAGGTAGTAATGTTTGTATATTCTTTTCATATATTGCATCCATTTAAACAAAAATATAATGTTAAAATTGAATTTTGGAGTATTTTTGAGACTACAGGAAAATATAAGAGAAATTGAAATTGTATAACCTGTTTTCCATGTCTTCAGGTTGCCATGGTAGAGCTCCAGTTTTTGATTGTAAGGTATCCGTCAGACCTTGTCCTTCTAACCAGCGATATGATATGAATGGGGAGCGCTTTGATGAAAACACAAACACATGTATGTAATATATGTATATAGTATAAGTATATGAATATATACTCTTATATGATTATAATTAATTATTTTTTACAACATTTTATTTATGTATTTAGTTTTATATGTATGTCGTATATAATAGTTAACAAGTTAATATAATTCTAAAATGTATGTGTCTTTATCAACATTTATCAGATGTTGATAAAAAGATAGTAGGAGCTATCAAAATATCCATTTGATTTTGTTATATTTTAATAAAATTTGTGTTTCGCAAGTCAACCTTCAATGATTGTACATCATTTTTTCATTACAGATACCTTCTTTTGGTAATGTTACAGTACAGATATTGAGTGTTAAAAACATGATTGTGATGGTACTTTTTGAGATAAAATAAAAAGAGGATTATGTTTCAATAACATAACACCGAAACAGAGTTTTCAACTTTTTGGTTTTACTTAAATGCTTGAAACCAAAACGTTGTGTGCAAAAGTAAACGATTTCGAACTTCTCAAACTGAATTCTCATGCAGATAATTTAGTAAACATAATACAGTATAAGGAAATTAACACGTGCTCCCGCTGGGAGCTTATTTTTTATTTTTGCAGCTCTAAATCTTTCATTTTCACAAAATAAATGAAATTAGTCATTAAATAACATCTATAAAAATAAATAATACAAAAAATGTTAGGTGCCAGGAGGAGTTAACACTGGGAATTATGTGGACATATAATATTAGACTGAATCTATTTTAATTCATTCAAATGTGTATTTATTTCTATACCAGCTGACATTATTTATACTCTCCAAGCAAGTGATTCTGATCCAGGTGATACTGTGGCTTATGAAATTGCAGTGACCACTGCATTAGAATCTGGATTTGTGGATGGATATTACTGGTTTAATGTGGAACGAAGTACGGGTGATGTTAATTTCTTAGAATCTCCAAATTATGAGGTAATTACTTACTAGATAGCTTTTTACTTTACATATGTTTATAACAATAATGTTAATGTATTTAATATGTTGATAATCCTGCATTTTTTTAACATTCTTCATAAGTATGTACACAGTCTTCTTTTTTTGCAGCATTTCCCCAATGGGGAGAAAACTACTCATACTAGACACAATATTTTTTTTTTTCATTCTGAACACCCCTGGCGGCAAAATATATCAACAGACGGATTGACAATTTATTAACTGTTTATTGCTTGCTTGTTTTTATCTTTTTATTTGTGGTCTTTGCCTTTTGATTATTTTTTTTCAAAGTGTTGTTTGTTATCTTACTGATTTTCCTTTTGTATTTTTGTAGTGTAAGAGGAAAGAGTGCAGATTTGTTTTGTTCAGGCTAATTGCTTATTCCCTTTCCTGGCAAATAAATATTATTAATATTATTATTATTAACACACAAAAATTATACGGAAATTTATCACGGTGCCTATACCCCTATGTTAAACATTCAAGCTATCGTATTTCTGCTAGACAACTCATGGATAAATCTGGTGGTGAATGTTATGCATTTTTACTGTGTCCATGCTAATAACTTTAATAGTCCTATTTGTGTTGTGAAATATGGTACATATATGTTTAGGTAGGAAATGAAGTAGGCCCTAAAGCAATTAGAGTATAGGCTGTTACTAATTACTGTCTTACTAATTACTGTACATTTCTTTTAGATCGAAACAGGAAGTTTCTACATGAATTAGTTACACTTTATGTTAATATGCTGCAACTTTTATTAATATATTTATATACTGCAGGGCTCTAGAGGTCGTAAGGTTTGCCTCACTGTCACAAAGGGATGAATTATGGGAGGCACAGCTAACCACATTGAAAAGTTGTTGAGACTGTAGATTCAATTAGGCCATGTAAAAAAAAAAGGGATCTTCTGGTGTGGTCTTTCATCAGGTGGACTTTATACACTCTAACAACTTCCTGTATGAACAAACAAATGAAAGACAAAATAATTACACAAAAAAAAGAGGCCTAGTCAAAGTTGAATTATGGATGGAAAGACAATATGTTCTTGAGTTTTGGCAAAAGAAAAATTAGGTGATTTTTTTGTGTAGGGAGGGGACGATCAACAACTTATTTTTTTACGTGGCCCTGTAGTTCAACCTCTGGAATCTAAATGCGTGACTGCATAAACAATGCAATGTGCTTAAAAAAATCTATAGATCCAAGGACAGTAAAGTCATTATTTTTCCTTCAATTAAGCTGAAATATAGAATTATATTCACTTCTTGAGATGGAGACTTTGATGATCTATGTTGCTACAGTTTTTCAGACCGGTAGGTTTGGAAACCTACACTTTATTTGATGACTGGGTTATACTACTGTGATTGTAGGCTTTGAAATAAGAATAATTATAATATAGATTATAGATTATAATATATATCTTGTAATTAATTATTAATTGCATTATCTGGCTTGTTTTTAAGTTTACTTGGATTAGGTAAGTACGTCCCATGCGGGAGAGTGCTCTGTTACAAATTAAAAACTGTAAGAGCAACATATGTATTACTGAATATAGATGGACGTGAATTTATGATGCATGTTTCATGCTGTCACGATCCTCAGATAGACTGATTGCACATACTGCTCCCTTATATATACAGGAGTACACTCAATCTGCAAACTGGCAAATACCAGCCATTTAGGAAGCTTTAGCACATGAAGAGATATTAACTTTAAATCATCTATAAATTTTAACGGTAAAGAAGTGTCTATTCATAGGCAGCAGAAGGTTTTTTGGCAGTCTCAGATTCCTCTTCTTTACTGTTTAAAAGACAAGGAATGATGGATCTAAGTTTTTTCTTTTTTTTTGTCAGATTCCTCTTTCGTTACTTTTCAATTTATATTGTTCATTGCATTATTGCGCTTGGTGTTTTGTTGATTTCTTGACATGCTTTATATACACAAGTATCTCATTCGCAATTCAGTTAGCTGAAAATAATGCACAGGTGAGGGCGTAACTTATAGATTTCTGACTGGTTACATATATTAAAATTGTGACGTCAGACACCTTAAAATAATGAAAGGAACTTAGGTTCCACCTGGCCCTTTAATCACCCACCTTCTCCATGTATGTGAAAGGTCCCGAGTTTGAGTCCCAGTGGAGGCTGAGTTTTTTTCTTTCTTTGTTCAGATTCCTCTTTGTTACATTTCAAAATATATATACATACATACATACAAACATGCATGTATGCATGCATACATACATACATACATACATGCACACCTCCATACACACACGCATACACACACCCACCACACCCTCACACATATATATATATATATATATATATATACATACGTACATACTAATAATAATAATAATAATAATAATAAATTGCTATTTATATAGCGCATATTGCAAGAAACTGCCTCTATGCGCTTAACATTAACTAAAGGATTTAATATAAAAAAAACAACATACGCACATATGCACATACATACACACACACACACACATATGATATTGTGTTTATGGTGCACTGATTAATGAGAACTGATGTTCAGTGGATGCTGTCATTAAAGGAAACTTAATAGTATGTTTGCCAATCCTCAAAATACTAATTTACTACCTTTAATTTTCGAAAATAAGTTTATTTAATTTGAATTTTTTTGTAGGCAGAAAATCAATTCATGATAACATGGAAATTATTAGATAGAAGTTCAACATCGGTAAGTTGATATTTAATTTTTGTAGTAATTATATAATGGTAATAAAGATAATGATAATGATAATAATAATGAAACCTATAATGATATTGATAACTGTAAGGGTAATGCATAATGATAACACAAGATACCTACCGGTACATTAGAATTTAGGCAGAAAATAACTCTTAAACCTCTGTGAGCCCCAGCCCCCATTAAAAAAAATTAAAAGCAAAAAATTATGCTCAAGTTAAATAAAATCACCTATCACCTTATTTTGTGAACAAGCACCCCATGACCCCATCAATTTCCCACTTCACCTTTGCGCCCCTCATCAAACCCCCCCCCCCATTTCAAATATGCCAATGAGTGTGACATTATTCTCATTTTAGATATGTGCAGTCACATAATCACATAAATACATGAGACTACATCTTTAGAATACTCATAAGATTTGTATGGTTTTTTTTACAGACTATTGCATCAAACATCAAAGTATATTTAAATGACATTAATGATGAACTTCCTGTGTTTAAAGAAATACTTTACACATTTTACTTACCAGAGGTAAGCCCCTTCAGAATTTTATAAAAGTAATAACAATGAAGATCCTGCAGTGTTGACAGTGGCTGCGCCAGCATCTGAAATCTGGTGAGAGGGGTAAGGTAACATTTTAGGGAGGGGGGTAATATGCTGGGGTGGCCTAAAGTGGGCGTGGTTGGGCGTCACTCAAAACGTTTTAAAAGTGAAAAATATGACAATTTAGGCGTTTCAGAGGCTTATGTAATCATTTTTATAGATAGTCTACTAATATATAGA